TGAACCAGCTAACCAAGGAGCAATAGGTGAAATTGTATCCATTAATAGTAAATACACACATAGCTATGGAATAGCGATCCATTTTATAAGACGGCTGGCGGAAATATTTATGGTTGTATTGCCAGGGTATAGGTTACTTTCCTAACAGCTTGTGATGTGATCATGCTGTGATGGGATCGGACTGTTGCGTTATCCTTGCAGTGTAACTGAGGGCTGACCCAGCATATTAAGGACAAGAGGATCCTTTTGCCACACTAAAAACAGTGAAAAAGAGATCTGACAAATCATCACGATGCTTCAGGCACATGCCTAACTGTGATAAAAGCAGAATTTTGTATTTTGCTTTGAATTGGGGGTTTCCACTGAGAATTTTGATGACATTAACGAAAAAAAAGGACTGAAATGAAGGGGTACCTGCTGTCTGGTCAGGACCATAGCCATAGGAGGCAGTGACCATACTACAGCCCTACGGAGGTCCTACAGCAGCACAGATGACTATTCAAATGCTTGTGTAGTCTGATTTTAAGAGGTTTATCTACAGCGAATATGTGTGATTGCCTGTGGAGAACAGACACCTTTTCTTATTTAGCCCTCTGTGCTCCAACATAGGTGAAGTGATGCAGATTCAGCAAAGTGCTGTGTAAGTCCCCAAAAGGTGGGAATGTCCCCTTAGTGTGCAGTGATCCCTGGGCCAGCTGCCTGGCCTGGGAAGCAAAGTTCTGTCCTGTGGCTGGTGCAAGGACCAGCTTGCACTCGACAGCGTTGTTACTGCCTAGCTCTGTCCTTTTTTTGCAGTTCTCCACCCCACAGGTCTCCTGAGATCTCAGCCAAGGTGTTCATGCTTGGGAGATCTTGTGCATTGGGGTAACAATACACTGCATGCCATTTGCAGCTCTTAGACAAGTTTCCTTGGCCCTTGTTCTGTGTGTGCTTCATTTAAATGAGACTATTCCCATCCTCAGAATCGAAGCATTTTGTTAAGTATTTGCTGGATAAGGACCAGCCCCTACTGGGTTCAGCGAGAGCTGTGCTTGCCTTGAGGCAGAATTTGTCCCCAGGTGGTTTCCTTATTTGTTTTATTAACTGCAGAAATGAATATAATGCTATCTAGGAAGACAGAAAAATCTAGTTCTTTGAATGTTCAGTCTGCAATTTTGGGAGGGGGACTGGAGGGTAAAGGAACCTTTTATCCCTCTCTGGGGAGAAGGGACAAGGCTTTTGTTGATCTGCAACGCTGCAATGAAAATGAGCCACTCCTTAGGGGATTGCGTTGTCTTCCTCCTTGTTCCTGTCCAAGCTGCATGTGAAGTAGATGGAGTTAGTGTCCCCACTGCTTGGGTATGACCCAGCCTGGGGGAAATAAGTGCTTATTTCTGCTGTCTCTTCTTTCTGCAGCATTGCCATTTTTCAAATTCCATGCTTTTCCAGAAAGCAACAGTTGGCCTTTTTGCTCCTATTTATTTGGCCACATTCTTCACTTACTCCAAAAAAAATGAAAAGAACCAAAGCCAATAAGCCTTGTTTTCTGCTTGTTAACAATTTAGTGCCATCTGTACTTCCCAAAAAGAAGTATGTTGTGGGCGCTGCTTCTGTTTGATGGCGATGCTGATGTCCACTGAGCAGGGCTTTTTAGCCTGCTCACATGCCTTCTCTACGCCACAGCAAACGTGGGCCTGCTTTGCTCTGGCCACAGGGCTTATGGAGCAGTTAGGACACCATGGCACCATGCGGCGAAGATTTGAGGTACAGGTTTCTCTGTGGGGTAGAGTGAGGCAGGAGCTAATTGCAAAAGACTTGAGGGGTTTGCTGCTGCAGCTCGTTGAGGTCTCCCCTTCAGTGCCTGGAGTGATGGCTAGTGAACTGTAATCTCCTGTGTGGTATCTAGGATAATATATAACCTGTGAATGGAGCTGTGCAGGATGGATGGGGAGAGCGAAGGGTCTGACGCAATTATTTTGTGTTTTTCCAGTTTCCTACGTGCTGAGAGGTGGCGGGTACATCCCTTCAGCTGAGCTGAATACTAGGGAAAAGGCCTCTTTTTGACTCCCTGATGGGATTTCTGATGGGATTTCAACCACCCCGGCTCCTTCGGGAGCAGGATTTTGTCATACACGTTTCGCTGTTGAGCACAGATTTCTGTTACCATTTCCCTGCTGTCTGTGACAGTCAGATCGATTGCCTGTATTGCTTTTTGGCCTGTTTTATCCTGGTGGGGAAGTTATTTCACTGCGTCTCTTCAACTGAGTCATTTGGAAACATCCCTGCGCCCCAGCCGGCTCATTAGCATCCAGCATTACGTGTTGCTGGCTCAGGGCTGAGCCGTCCCTTGTGCCAAGGCCGTGCTTGGCACATCCGTCAGGAGGGCAAGGAAAGGTGTTCCTCAGCGGCTCTGTCCTGAGCCTGGGCTGTTGCAGGCAGAGAAACAGCTTTGCTTCTTGAAGATCAGACTGTGCTGGATATGGCATTCCTTTTCCTGCTCAGAAGCCCTGCCAGACCCTTCTGAGGGTAGGTATGGGCAATTCTTGGGTGGCGGGCCCCAGAAGTACAAAACCAGGCAGAGTGCTCACCCTCTGGGTATCCTTCAGCCTCATCCCCTGCCATTTTGTCACCCTGGGGTGCACTCGTGGTGCTGTTGCCCTTGTTTCCAAACCTCTGCTTTTCTCTCTCCCCCACCCAGGTATGGTGCAGACGTGGATGTGAATCACCACCTCACTTCCCGGGTCCCCAGCCTTTCCCTGCGGCCCCTCACCACGCTGGTGGTCTGCCCGCTGTACATCAGCGCTGCCTACCACAACCTCCAATGCTTCCGGCTGCTGCTCCAGGCAGGAGCCAACCCGGATTTTAACTGCTGTGGGCCCATCAACATCCAAGGCTTCTCCCGGGGCTCACCGGTGTGTGTGATGGACGCTGTCCTGCGGCATGGCTGTGAAGCGGCATTCGTCCACCTCTTGATTGACTTTGGAGCCAATCTGAACCTGGTGAAAGTGGAGGCTGTGGGAGTTGAATCCACGGGAAGGGTCAAAGTCAACCCTGAGGCTCTGCAGGTGTTCAAAGAAGCAAGGGGTAAGTGGCTTTGACTTACTGAAGTGGCACTGGTTTTATCTATCTCTGGATTCAGGAGAGCTCTTTGGAGAGTTTATTTGATAGGGTGGATGTTACCATCCTCTTTTGGGTCTGTTTTTCAAGTGCAAAAAGATTGTGTACTTAGAAGTGTAAAACAATTCTAACACACAAAAAAGATAACTGGGATTTAACAAGCTGTTAAGCTAAGTGTTAATGACTTCACCACCCCTGATATGGCTCCCAAAGAGCTGTTGCTGGCCAGGCAGGCATCAGACAGGAGAGGACGGTGTGGCTGGCCTCTGCAGCTCCCTGGCACGGATCCTCAGTGTTGCCGAGCTGCTGCCTGACTTCTGCTCTGTCAACACTGATGACTCAACCCAATGGCTTCCCCATAAGCCTCCAGCTAGACTCCCTGTTTTTTTTCCTGTTGCATTTTTTACGTTCACGTGATGTTTTCCCTCTTGAGTCCTTCAGCTACCAATGATGCCTATCTCAGCTGCCCAGCCTCCGTCTGTAACTTTACCTTTTTTATCTTTCTCCCAGCTCTTTTCCATTGCCTAATCATGTCCTCAGCAGCCTGAGGCAGTGGGGTCCTGTCAGAGCTGGGCTTTGGGCCTGCAAACCACAGGCAGGTTATGGCATATCCAGTGAGACCCAGTTCTCCAAGGCCATGCAGGTGTGCCCTCACTGTTCTTGAGTGACCCTGTGCTCTGCAGGGGGACCCAGGGAGGGACCCAAGAGGTAGTTCTATCTGGACAGGCTACTTGGGAAGTAAAGTCACAAATGATGGTAGCAAGTGGCAGAAGGGAGCTCAGATGGTCGTGGAAAAAGGTGGGAAAAAGTTGGCTTTTTGAATTTAACATCCTCTGGGAAGCAGATGAGTTACAAAAGAAGTAAACCAGAGCCTCAGACCTGAACATGCCTAAATTTACATGCTACTTCTTTCTTTTTATAAAGAAAGCAACATCAATACAGTGCGCACCCTTATTCCAGCAAGGGCAGCACCTCATAAAACCACCAGGCTCAGCTGGCGGAGGCCAGGGCTTTGCACCAGGGTCGGAAGTGGGGTTTCCCTCTTGAACTCCACAGAAATTTGAAAGGGATTCAGGATGTGGGATACAACCCCCAGCGCCCACCCCGAAGTTATTCAGCTTTGCACATGCCTGGTTTATAAACTTGCCTGGACTTTTGCTGAGAAGAGGTGCACATAAACTGGAGCAGGTGGTTTCCATTAAGCCTGGGTTTAGGAGGCAAATGGGACTCCTCAGGTAGAGCATGCAGGATAATGGAGTGGTGCCGTGGCGGTCCAGTTCCTGAATCAACATTGACACCACCATCCTCTTGTCCCTGTGCTGGAAGAGCTCTCCATGAACTCAAAAGAAGCCCTCAAAAGAAATCAATGCTGTTGTTTCCTAGGGGGTAGTTTAAAGCAAAAATAATGTCCACATAATTTTAAAATTATCTGACTAGTATAAAGCCTCTCACAGCCTCCCCTGGTGTGGATTTGGCAGTGATCTCTTGAACCCTCTCATGCAGGGACTGCCTCCATGGTCACAACCCCATGCAGTTTCCAGCTTGCCCTTCCAAACTGCCCATGTGGCAGCTGTCATTGCTCCAAGTCTTTGGCCAAAAGGTTTGGCCTTTTCACAGGGAGGATTTGTGCATGCTCAGCTCTCCTGCGCTGCCTTCATGTTGCTGTGCAGGACGTGGCCTTGGTGTTTGGAAGGGGTAAATGGCTCCTTAGCTGTCAGCCAGAGCTCAGCACAATTTACATGCTGTTATCCCACTCCCTTCCTCTCTGTCCCTCAGTAGTTTTTCTCTGCTTTCATTATTGCAGGCCGCACCCGGAGCCTCTTGTCTCTCTGCCGCATAGCTGTACGAAGAATACTTGGCAAATCTCGTCTGGATCTGATCCATATCCTTCCAATCCCAGACCCCATTAAACAATTTTTACTTCACGAACACAGTTAAAGGGCAACTGGCTGCTTTCCGGAACAGTTCGATTTGGTAAATGAGTGCGCTGATAAGGCCAGGTGCCAATCCTACCCCTTCCCCCACAGTGAAACACTATATTGCTCATGGAGTGCACATAATTCCCTGCCCCTGTGATTTTCCCCTCCAAATTTAGGGTGCAGTGATTTTCTGTGTCTATTCTTAAGCTACCAGTTATCTAACTGGTGATCTCTTGGTTGCAACTGGTTGGGTGATGAGGCCAATAAGCGTGTGTGGCTGTTACATGAGCAAATACAATATATCCTATAGCTGTTAGCATATGTCTGTTTGTTATGACTCTACCTCTGTTATTGCTCTGTGTTACACACAGCTTGGGTCTCAGCGGCACTTCTGCGTGGGGAAAGTGTCCGGACTTAAGCCTTTCCTCTTCCTATAGTGTACAAGGGAGTCTCTCCTCTCCTTGTAAGGGTTTTACAACAGCACTGTTCTCTTTCTGCCATCAGTACCTGGCCTTTCTCTTCCCTATGGAGTGTGTGATTGCTGCTGTAAAAGTGGGTGTATTTTCTTCTGTCCTCTTCTGGTGTGAAATGCACCAAGTTTCCTGTCCAGTGCCGTGTGTTACTTGGAGAATTGTATCCGTGTCTCTACGTGCTGCAAGGTAGCTGCTGACTTGGCTTTCTTCGTGTAGAGGCCCCATCGCGCAGATGGGAGAGTAGCAGAATATGTAATCCTATCCTGTCTGAGTCGTTTCTACAGAGCACCAGATCTGCTGTGGCAGCTTGGCTCTCCCTCCAGTGCTGTAATGGACAAGACAGGGGCTGGCCAGTCCTCCTCCTGACTGCCTGGGACTGGGTCAAGTCTCGTGAGCACTGCCATAGCACAAATGAGAAAACGTGGAGAGAAGAGGAAACCGTAGTTTCACCTCTGGAAACTGATAGCTACACAGCCTGTTGCGGGGACATGATCCCTATGGTTCAGTCACCACTGCAGTGGTGGTGGGACAAGGACTGTGACACGCAGATGAAGCCAGCTCGTGAAGCTGAAAGATTTCAAGGGTACTTTTTGGAAAAGCAATGGCTAAATTAATCTGTTCACTGTAAAATGGGTTTGAATATTTGGGAGTGACCAGGAGCAACAGTGGAGGGGTTGCTAAATTAAACTGTTGTGTTGCTGTGCTGGATAGTAGTTGATGCAATGCCTGTGAATATATCTGTGCGATTATGAAGAAAAAGACACCAAAATGGTCTCTAGGCTGCCTGCTTGCCATATTGCAGTGATTATGATGTTATTGAAGGCCCAGTAAAGTAGCTGACAATGCACAGCGCATAGAAATAGAAGTTTCCTGCCTACCTTTTACTTCATATCCCATGGTGGCAGTATGACCAGAGAAAACCCTCCCACATCCTCTTAACAGGTCTTTTTGTTTGCATATTGCTTCTACCAGCGTTGTGGAAAAGGGAGAAGAAGGGACTTTTTGTCTTTTCTTGGAGAGTTAGGAGGTTATGTGCTTCTAAATGCAGTGTTGCATCCAGCAGCCTGGGCTCCTTTGATTTCCAGTGCCTCTACATTGCTGTTTACCTTCATGTCACAAGCTCACAGAAGAGTGTCATTCTGCAGTGAGTTGACAGCCTTTCATTAGGATCTCAGGGTCAGCCAGCTCCTTAAAGGTAGCGGCGTAGTCATTGTATAGGAAACATTGTCAAAATAGCAACTTTAGAAGGACAGAGATGATGGTCCCTCAGGATCTTGGGTAAAAACTCAGGTGATAATTAGTACTTGCTTTTACTTTACTGATTCAAGTTCTTTCTAGTCCCTGTGTTATAAGTTGATTTTTTGGACAATTTTTCTTTGCCAGATGTTCTTCCCATGCTCATGCAGTTGGCAAGGGTGTTTTTCCAGATGTGATCCTAAAGATGTTGGGGATTTACTTATTGTATGGTATTAGTGCCTAGGGACCTGTTGTTGAGCATGGGATGGCAAGGACAGTAAGACAGCCCCTCCTTGGAATGGGATCTAGCTCTGGTCGCTGTTCTCTGTGACCCACTGCAGTAACAGGGAAGAGGGGTTGTTTAAGCTACCTTGCATTTCAGTTTCAAACGCCTTTGACTGACAGCCCTGGTTATCCTGCCTCTATAGGAGCAGATCTTCAAGGCTGCCCCATAGACTTGTCCTATGGACTTGCCCCATAGGTCTCGACACTAGTTATAAAATGTTCTTTTTTCCAGAGGCATAAATGAATGCAAAATCACAGTTCAGTTTCTGGTCCTCCCACTAAGGGATGTATTTAGGGTGGAGTTCAATAAGCAACGATGGACTTTCTTGTATGTTTTATTACCTGCAGAAGAACATGTGCCTTTCCAAGATGCTTTTAGAGAAGGAGGAAGGGCAGGAAAAACGCAGTCCCTGATTGTTTCCTGTTATTTCAGTTCCATGGCCAGGCCTGGAAGGTCCAGCTGGCCCCTTACATTGCTCTGCTCACTGATTTTAGGATAAGGTGGCAAAATTTGCACTGCTGGGAACAGGCTAAGGTGTGATGGTTACAGTCAGTGCTCAGATACGAAAGCAAAGGATACTTTCAGAACCCTCATCAGGTGAGATATAATAACAAGGATATGTAGCTGTAGGCATGCTTTCAAGGTGAGAAGGCAGCACTTTTGCACTGTTTCCTTTTCAGGCTTGCAGATGGTTTAGGTTTTCACCATGCTGGAGGCCAGGGCAGCCCATGAGCATGTTGCCTGAGAGTTGTGTGCTTGCTTTATAGAAGTGTTAACATGTCTGAAAGATGCAAACAGGTTGTAAAGCCTCTTGTCACCTTGCTGGTGGAACCGTAATGTTTTGCAGGAGCATGGGCTGAACGTATGCTCTAGCTCCAGTGTAGCGGCAGAAAATGAGGGAGGCTGTCTTGAGAAAATGCCATGGCAACCACTTCTTTGGGTTGACTTTTTCCCCCTTGATCTTTGTTTGTTCAGACAGTTTTGCAAATAGGTCACACATTAGTGCCTTTTGGGAGAAGGTAGTAGGGTGGATGTGGAAGGCATATGCTCCTCTGGGGAGAGCTGACTCCACTTGGAATGAGCTACAGTGAAATGCCATGGTGTGGATGATGGGAGGGTGGCCCAAAGAAATTTGGAGAATTTAGTTGTTATGGGCATGATTAACACAGTGCCTGATGTAACTTGAGTATCTAGTTAAAGCTAAGCCTCTGCAGATGACCTGTTACAATTTTCATTATAGCTGCCTTCAGTATTTGATTTGTTGACTGTTGTGCCCTTGACTGACACTGTCCAACAACATGCTTATGGATAGCCAGCCAGTGGCATCCTGACCAGTCTAGCAACTGTGCTCCCTCCCAGAACCGTAACTCCCATGTGGGTGAAATTGAGCAGAGCACCCTCTTCCTATGCACAGAGTCAACACCTGGTACTGATATGGTTCCTTTGTAGGTCCCACTGGTAAGCTCAAGCCATGCTGGGGGTGGGGACTTTGACCTCTGTTAGTTTACCATTCTTTATTTATAATTTGAGATATGATGATCATGGTGCTCCAACAGTGTGCTGAACTTTGTATGTATGGGTAGTTCTTTTGACCTCAAGCTTGAAGGACTTGAAGGACATGAGTCTTCAAATCCAACTGATGTGGAGTCCAAAGGATTCCCTTGACCATGGATATCTCCAGCCCCTGATCCACAGGTCAAAGAATGGTTCTCCCAACCCAATAGCAAACAAGCTTGAAGTTCACCAATCACTTGGACATTTGCAGAATCAAAGCTTTGAAGTGCAGGAGACATTTTGCCTGGACTACCCATCCAACTCCCATCTTAACTGAGGGACTGTGCCTCCTGCAAAGTTCTCAGTGGTAAACCTGGATGGTCTGTCTTTTGGCTTGAGGGCCTGAAGGGAGTCCAACTCAGGGGACAACTCACATAATATTAAGCCGTAAGTGCAAAGACTACTGTCAGAGTAAGTCCCTATGGACATTGGTTGTTGAGGCTACATAAAGCCAGCTTTGCCTAAGTAAAATGGTTTAATATGCAGACTTAGAAGATCTGGAATCTTAGTTGTAGAGAGAGAATAATGAATCTCAAAATAGATTCATGATATTCATAGACCTTGGTGTCCTGTCCTGTAGGGCCAAGACCTATATCCTCTGGCTGTCCCTGTCCTTTTTAGCCCAAGAAACAGCAGTCTTCCAGTATGAAATCTGAGTAATACGTGCATATTATATATCTTCACACTACATAAACTGCATTTATTTTTGCCTTAACTTGGACTTCACCATTTCCTCCTATGTAGCAAAGCATTCTCTTTTGTAAAGCTATTCTTTTCCATGTTGTTCATGGGACATGCTCAGATAACATGAATAACAAATGCGTATTGTGAAGTCATGGGTGGGAGATTAAACATTTCTGCAGTGTACATCCCCTATAATGAAGAATGCCTATTATATTTGTGCATAATATATAAAGTGTGCATTGTGTGGACTTGCTGTGAGCTTGAGTGGGATAGGATAACAAGATGTGGAAAATGGTTAAAGAACCAAAACAGATCTGGAATATGCAAAGCCGATCCAAAGCAGTCTTTTTCATGTGGGCTTTCTTCTTCTCTTTGTTGCTGTAGGGGATTTCCAGAGCACAAAATGCTGGTACCCAAATATAATTTCCTACTTTTTGGGAGTTTCGCAAAAGGCAGAGGAACAGCATCTGTTGGGTTGAAGTGTTTTTTTTTTCCCCACCCCCAAAGTCAAGTAAAGCACTTTTTTATGCCAAACCCAGCCTTTGAGGTACAGCGCCTCTTTAGCCCTTCCTGTTCTAGCAAAGAAAGCAGTGTAAGAACCTTCCCAGGACAGAGAAGGGGTGACAGAGTTCAGCTTCAATTATAGGTAATCAGTGGTCTGTTGATTTTGCCTGGCGTAAAATGATCATGCACAGCAGCAATATCAAACCTGAGAGCAGATAGGAGGTATCTGTGGTGGGCCTGGATCCATGTGTAGCTGAATAAAGATGTTCCACTGCAAAAGCATGGCTGTCTGCCTAATTATTTACCTCCCCATGGGAAGGGGGAGTACTGCTCTGTGCAGCAAAGAGCAGGGACTGGATTTGCAAAAG